GTTGGGTTATAATTTCTTTGAGATATATATATATATATATATATATATATATATATATATGTTTGTTAACTGTTTCATGCACTGTATGAATTAGCATACATTCATGAATTACATCCAGTTTACAAGGTTTTTAGAGGAAGAAAAGTAAATGAATGAAAAATATTACATACAAATAGTAACTAAAAGAGAGCTGGAGTGGCTATAATAAAATCAGACAAAACAGACACATAAAGACATATGTCAATGCAAGCAACATTCCAAATATCAAGAAGATATAACAACTATTGAACTTTTACTTTTCTCTTGGAGACCAACCAAACACATGAAACAAAACCTTACATAACTAAATGCAGAAACAGACAACTCATCTACAACCATACCACCTTGAAGGCACCCAATCTTGTGTGCTCTCAGAAGCTATGAAACACCTAAGGACTAGCCTCAGTCCTTTCTAAATGATTCTAAGTATCCAACAACAGAGTTACTTCAAAAGTCATTCTATGAGGACAGCATTACCCTGATACCAAAGCCAGACAAAGAAGCTGTAAGAAAAAAGCAGCTCAATGACCATTATCAATATTGATACAAAAATCCACAATAAAATAGTAGGCACCTGAATTCAGCAACATAGTAAAAGGTTATATACATTTTGAGCAAACAGCTTATTCACAGAGGGCAAGGATGGCGCAGCATGGAAAAATTAATCACTTTAACACATCACAGTAACAGAAGGAAGGAAAAGTCCCACCTCTATCATTCCTATTCAGCATAGTAGTGGAAGTCTTTACAAGAGCAATTAAGAAAATAAAGTTAAAAGGTTTTGGTTTTAGAAAAATAAAAGATAGTAGAAAGCAGAAACTAGAATTATCACTGTTTTCATGGTATGTTTTTTTTGTTTTGGGGGGTTCTGTTTGTTTTTTGTTTTGGGTTTTTTTTTCTTTTTTTTTCTTTTTTTTTGGGGGGGGGTTTCTCAAGACAGGATTTCTCTGTGGCTTTGGAGGCTGTCCTGGAACTAGCTCTTATAGACCAGGCTGGTCTCGAACTCACAGAGCTCTACCTCCCTTTCCCTCCCGAGTGCTGGGATTAAAGGTGTGTATCACCAACACCTGGCTCTCATGATATGTTTTATGTAAAACAAAAACCCTTAATGTTTACACAAAATTTCCTGTTAGAATTGATAAATGAATCCTGTGAAGTAGTAAGATACAAAGTTACATAAATAGTTGCATGTATCTATACCCTCCATAAATAATTGAAAAAGAAATCACAAAACAATAGAATGTATATGAATATTAAAAATAATAAAATATTTCATATTTAGGAATTAACTCAGCCAAAGAAGTGAAACACTTGCACAATGAAAATTGCAAAACAATGCAGAAACAAACTAAGGAATAAATTAATATAAATATCTCCCATGTGTGTAGTTTGGAAAACAAATATTGCTAAGATATCAGCACTCCTTAAAAACACAGATTCCTGAAATCACTATAAAAATCCCAATAGCATCTTTTACAGAAATAGGAAAGTCTGTCCAAAAATGCATATAGTGTTTCAATGGATCCTGAATAGCTGTAACAATTTTGAAATTGGAGAGAAAAAAAAAATGGGAGTCTCACACATCCTAATTTTAAAACTTCATACAAGTTTATAATAATCAAAACACAGTTTAGTACTGGCATAATGACAGACCTTAAGACCATTGAAAAACAATATAAAGCCCAGAAACAAACCCCCAACTGTACAATCAAATGACTTTTGAGAATAGTGCCAAAATTATTCTATGAAAGAACAATCTTTCAATAGGCAATGCTGAGTGCTGGGGAAATGACTTAGTAAGATGGTTTCCTTGCCTTAGAAGGGGGAGGACTTGAGTTTAATCACAGAAACAGCTGGGTCACACACTTGGAATCCTAGCACTAGGGAGGTGGAGACAGGAGGATCTCTGGGGAACACTCCACTCAGCCTGTCCTGCTAGGCAAATTCCAGTTCAGTGAAAGATCCTGTCTCAAAATTGAAAGGTGGATGGCCCCTGATGGCAGTGAAGGTTGTCCTCTGGCCTCCACATGAACATGCATATGCACAAATACACATAAACACACACACACACACACACACACACAGAGAGAGAGAGAGAGAGAGAGAGAGAGAGAGAGAGAGAGAGAGAGACTCTAGATAAATGAGAAAGAAATTTGACCTCTATAAAACATGGTAGATAATCACTAACATAAATCAAAGACCTAAATATTAGATCTAAAACTACAAAACCAATAGAAAGTCTAGGCCCAGAATTTCACAACATTGGATTTGGCAGTGATTTCTTGACTGTGGCATCAATGGCAGAGATAACAACAGAAATGGACTTAATAAAGAAGAAAACTCTTATAATTTAGACCTCAGAAGAAACTGTCAACAGAGAAAACAAGGAACAGCATAGAATGGAAGAAAATATTTGAACGCTATAGTATTTGATAGAGCAGATCAATAATAAATGTATAAATAACTCTTAAAACTCAACAACAATAAAAATTGTAAAATGAAAGAAAAAAGGCAAAAGAGAAAGAAAAACCATGCAAAACCATTTCCTCCCCAGAAGATGTACAGATAGCTAATAAGTACATAGAAGCATGCCTGATTCACTAGTTGTAAAGGAACTACAAGCCAAAACTGAACTGAGATATCCATTGCCAAGTCCACTAGACAACCACTCTCCCAAAAAACTTGTCTAGTGATAACTGTTAGGGAGCATGTGAGGAAATTAGAACGCTTACACATTGTTGGTAGGAACTTTTATTTCCTGAGACAGGGTTTCTCTGTGTAACTTTGGAGCCTATCCTGGCACTTGCTCTGGAGCCCAGGCTGGCCTCGAACTCACAGAGATCCGCCTGCCTCTGCCTCCTGAATGCTGGTATTAAAGGCGTGCGCCACCAACGCTGGGCTGTTGGTAGGAATGTTAAATGACAGAGTTGCCATGGAAAACAAACAAACAAACACAGAATTCCCATACAATCCAGTAATTTTACTTCTAGGCATATATTATAAAAAGGAGTTGAATAACAGAGTCCCAAAGAGTTATTTGTGTACCCATGTTCCTAACAGTGTTGCTCACACAGTAAAATGAGGAAGCAACACATGTCCATCAGCAAATCAGTAGCTAAGCAAAAAATTATACATGTATTCGATGGGATGTTATGCTGCCTTGAAAATGAAATGTTGACATATGCTACAACCCAGTGAGAGTCGAAGGGAAAATGCAGTATGTTCCTTTTATATGAAGTGTTAAGAGTCAAAAATCACAGAAAGAGGTGGGCTGGAGAGATGGCTCAGAGGTTAAGAGCACTGACTGCTCTTCCAGAGGACCCGAGTTCAACTCCCAGCAACCACATGGTGGCTCACAACCATCTGTTATGAAATCTAGCACCCTCTTCTGGCATGCAGGCATACATGCATGCATCCAGGCAGAATACTGTATACATAATAAAAATAAATAAATCTTTAAAAAAAGAAACATAAAAAGCCCCGAGACAAAAGGTAGATAAACAGAAACAAGTTAATTTAAGTTAAAAGAATAAAAGAGCTAGCCAAAGCCTGGTGATGGTGGTGAAGGCCTTTAATCCCAGCACATGGGAGGCAGAGGCAGGTGGGTGTCTGTGAGTCTGAGGTTAGCCTGGTCTACAGAGTGAGTTTCAGATCAGGCTCCAATGCTACACAGAGATACCATGTCTAGACAAACAAAACAAAAACCACAGAAAGAGAAGTGTGTTGGTAACTGCCAGGAGCTGAAATGACTGAGAAGTGAGGGGTTATTATTTAATGGTTATAATTGCAGTTTTTCTAGAAAAAGAAAGCATTTTGGAGATGCATGGTCATTTCAGTTGCACACTACAAATGTATTTAATGTGACTGAATTGTACACTTAAAATAGTAATTCTGCTAAATGGACTTTAATACAATGAAGACCGGGAAATGTAATTCAGATCAGGCACACACATTTGCTCAAGGCCTTTGTGCCCCACCCCCAACATCTACCCACACACACCAATGGTTCCTGTATCTGTGCAAATCCAGCAACTCTGTACCCATAGGGGCCTTACAGACCAGTCTCCCTTTCATCTTGGGTCTCATCACTTCTCCCTGCCCCCAATCACTCCATTCCAGCCTCACAGACTCAAGCATGCTCCGTACCTTCCCACTGCTCTGCTTTGCCTGGAATGCTCTCCCCCAGATATCCACAGGGCTCTCCCTGTCATCTTCTCAAATGCTTGTGCAAATCTCACCTCCAGCGGAAGCTATTCTAATGATCCCACAGAATCCTGTCCATCTGCTCACCCAGAACTCCCAGCATGCTTTACTTTGCTCTACCACATTTCTTAGTACTTTCGGTCTTATTGAGTAATGTATTCATACATATTTTTGGCACATCTCTTTCACAGGAATATAAATTCCTCATGGGCAGGAACTTTTCTTTGGTATCCCAAGCATCTGGAACAGGGCCTGGCATTTAGTAGCCATTTAATCAGTATTTGCTGAATGAATGAACAAAATTTCCACATAGGGTTGAATTGACAACTTTTGACTCACTAGCCAAAGGAAGCTATGGCCAGGGGCATCTGTGGAGCCAAATATTGTACAAAGCCACCTGTTATGCTCAACTATCACTTCAATTACACACACACACACACACACACACACACACACACGTTACACACACATAGAGTGGAGGGAGACAGAGACAAGGAAAGAGGAGAGAGTCAAATGGACATTAAGAATAATATCATTGTCAGGTAGGGACTGGAGTGGGGGAGAGGGTATTTTTGAGCTGTGGATTATATGCATGCATGAAGACCCTGCATATGCCCCTGACACGTGTTGCTAGATGGTCCAGTGACTAGTTTCAAAGTCACCCCATCAGGACACTCCCGTCCCGCCCCCGCCTGGTTCATATAAATGACTCACATTGCATGAATGGGGCTCTAGCTGTGTGCAAGGCTGAGGGAAGAGTTCATGCTCCCTCTCTCATTGACTTTTCTTGGCAGCCAAGATGATGAGATGGCAAATGGCAGACCAGTGGCTTCTGGAAAAATGTATCGCTGGAGTCAGAGGGATATGGCGTTTCTGCTCCTACCTCGTGGACAGTGCAGGTGGGTTTCTGAAAAGGAATCTTAACAGTTTCCAGGGTTTCCAAACCCCAGATGGCAATTATGTGTGTCTGGAGAAAATCTAGATATATTTAATAGTGCAGTTTGGGTTAAAAAAAAAAAAGCCTTAAAGAACCTGGGATCCATAAGATAAGTTACAGTAAAAGCAATGCAAGTCCCTTTCACTCATCCATTTAACAGTATTTGCTAATCATGTCTACATGGCAGTCACTATGCTAGTTGGATGGAATACAAAGATGCACAGGGGCCATATGTTCCTCCTCTTCCTCCTCCTCCTCCTCCTCCTCCTCCACTTCCTCCTCCTCCTCCTCCTTCTCTTCTTTTTTTCTGTTGTTTTGTTTTGTTTTGTTTTGTTGAAACAGGGTTTCTCTCTGTAGCCCTGACTGTCCTGGAACTCACTGTGTAGACCAGGCTAGCCTTGAACTCAGATCCACCTGTTTCTGCCTTCCAAGTACTGGGACCAAAGGGCACCACCACTGACCAGTAAGTTTCTGCTTCTTAAAGCTCCCACTATGGTAGGAAACAGACAGGGAGCCTGTGTCGAGAGTGGGAAACACTACTCCTTGGTCTATTGGTAGTGTTGGTCCAGTAGTGTCAGGGTGCTGGAAGGCCACCAGCCCAGGATGACACTCCAGCCCAGCACACTGAGTTTCATTCAGTGCCCTAGTTTTAGGGATGAAACCCTGGATCTCTGGGGAGCAGTAAGAATTAGGAGTTGTCAAAGTTATAAAATAGAGAACATGGTCTTTGGCACCTTTGGACTGTGGCCCATCTGTAGGCTCCTCAGAGTTCATCTGGGGAATATTCTTTTCCATGAGATCTTTTATTCCCTTCTTTTTCTGATAACACACAATATTCCATGATGTCCTGGTTTCCTCTAAAGTGACTTTGTTTTTTAAAAGCAAAACCAAAGAAAGACATAAAGGACTCTTTCCCACTAGTCCGTTTTCCCCATGCTCACACACTGGAGACTTTCTGGAGACACTGTCTGAACTGGAAGTTGGCTAGTGATGCTGTTTGGTACAGCAGACAGAGCAAGCCTTGGGGGGTATGAGCAGCTGCACCAAAGGGGCCGGATGAGAGTGCAGCTCTGTGTCTCTCCTGTCTGCCCTGTCTGACCTGTAGGTGAAGAGCTGCTGGATTTCTGGATCCTTGCTGAGAAGATCCTGAGCATAGACGAGACAGATGTTGAAGTGAGAGACTACTACCTGTCCCTCCTGCTGGTGCTCAAGGCCACTCATCTGCAGGAAAGCTCCCGAGTGGTGACTCTCTGCAACATGGACATCAGTAAGAGTTACAGAAAATATGTGAAATGGAATTCTTGTGAGATGTAACCAACAGCTCAGTCTGGCATTTGCTCTCTCCTTTCTTTTGTTTTCCACACTGGTACCTTCTCCATATGCTCGATGTCAGGGATGCAAGTGGAACTCACAACCTGTAACAGAGAAAGGGTTGAAAGACAGCAGCTATGCTTAGGGTGATGCTTAGATCTTCCTGAGATCCAGCTGGCCAGTGCAGGTTGCCTGGAAGAAGAGAATGAGAATTGGGACAGGAGAGCTGGGAAATTACTGTATCTTCTGAGTCTGCATGGCTCTGTTATTTGTGTTAATGAGATTCTCTAGAACAAATAACAGCCCATGGACTAAAGGGAGTACCTGTGGCTTTTGCAAGCAAAGACTGTAAATTTTAGAGTTCAACAGAAATTATTTAGCTTACAAAGCTTAAAATACTTACTGTCTGGACTCTGAGACATTGTTTAAACTCTTTCTCTTGACTATCAGGCTCATCCCTATTAGTCTTAATGAAAACCGAAGAGGGATTTTGAACACAATATCACTGTGTTCCAGAAGATATGCTGTTTGTGACTAATCATAATCTTCTCATTCCTAACAATAATTAAAAATTGATGATATTATCTGGGTGTGTGGGTATGTATGCCTGCAATCTCAGCACTTGGGAGGTAAAGCCAGAAGGATCAGAAACTTAATGCCATCTTGGCCACACAGTAAGGGCAGCCTGGGCTATATGAGACCATTTTAAAAATTGATAACATTGAATCCAGGGCTAGCAAGGATTGGATATTATTTGAAGGATTTGACTCCTTGGAATTATCCAGTCCAAATTCTCTGGTCATCATTTAGAATCATGAGTCCCATTCACTTGTGTATAATCTCATTCTCTTAAAATCATGTTTTCTTGTATCTTTTGCTTTTGTTTATAATACAATCTAAAATATGCTCAAGAAATCCCACAAAATGGGTTTCTTCTGTGGAGAAGAAGAAAGTAGCTATGAGAGAAAAGTAGCTACTGTGTGCTAGGGAGACATCAAAAGCATGCCACTGTGTTCTACCTGCTCCTGTTCCCACGGCTCATATATATAAATATCATATCCAAGGCAATTTAAACAATATCTTTTGTCAGCATTCACGCATTTAAAATCACATACCATGCATTCAGGTGTGGCCACACCGTACACACAGAACATGCACAATTTTTTTATCACTCTTTTTTGCCTAGGTTATGATCAGTCTGTTGAAATGAAAAATCGCTAATTGAAATCTCTTGTAACATAGCAGTTATAGCCAATTCTTGAATTATGAGTGTCCAAGATTTGAACCAACCTGTGGGGAATAACTCGAGCTCACACCCTGATGTGCTGCAGTCACCAAAGAACCTAGAACAGAAGGGTCAGGGGGAACAAAGAACGACAGCAAGACAGGTTTCTGATCAAGCTGCCAATTTCTATTTTTCACAGGGACCTTATATAGGGGTGCCAAGCGGGGAGCTTGGCAGGCAGGGAGAGGTCATTTGAGGCTACTTGCCTGATAACCAGGCTAAGGAATGTCCCTGTGCATGAGTCCTTGAGAGTGCAGGAGGTTACCAAGGTCGCAGGGTGCAGGTGTTAGACAGTGGGTTAGAAAGGGGGAAAGAGTTGCTAGGTAACCTGACCATGAAATGTATCTTTCGTTCTATAAGCTACTTCATGAGCCCAGACTTTATGTATCAGGGAAGAAAGGATTGGAAGCAGCTATTCTTATAAAGTAGTGTGTTTATACTGGCAGCTTCTGCCCAAGTCTCTTACAGGTCCAAGGTTACTTTTGCCATGGCCCCCAACACCCCACACTGTCATGGCTGTCACCACTTCATTCTCACCCTTTACCTCTCTATCCTTCCAGAGTCCCTCCTGAACCTCTCCATCTGGCATCCCAACCAGTCCACCACCAGAAGGGAGATCCTAAGCCACATGCAGAAAGTGGCCCTCTTCAAAATCCAGAGCTACTGGCTCCCCAACTTTTACACCCATGCCAAGATGACAATGGCCAACGAGGAAGCATGTCATGGCCTGATGCAGGAATATGAGACCCGCCTGTGCAGTGTTTGCTGCACACACGAAGGTGGGCTCCCTTTAAATATGAGCATCAAGAAATCCCGCCACGCCCAAAGGAAGTACTCAAGCAAGAAGGCCAAGAGGAAGCTGTGGCAGTTAATTGATCCTGTCTTATGGTCTCTGGAAACAGACCCCAAGCCAGAAGTCTCCACGAAGGCCCAACAAGAAACGAGTCGTCCAGAAAAGGTAATTTTACAAAAGCCTTCTCTGGAAGTAGATTCTTCAAAGGAGTCAATAAGCCATTCCCTGAACAAGGATACTCAGTCTGCCAAAAAACCCATTGTGAAGAAGAAATCCAAGCTCCAGCTCCACATGGAGGGTATCTTTGAGTCAACGTTCTCCAACTACCTGAGAATATCCACTCCTGTCATCAATCACACTGCCCCGCTGGCAGTCAAGAAGTCCCTCAAGCGAGGCATCTCCTTTGGGTACACTCACTGGGCCCTGACTGCTGACGCCTGTGCAGGGAGTCCCTTCCGCTATTACCTGAAGAAGCTGAACTTGAAGGTGGAGGTGCAACTCCTGGACCTCTGGCAGGACCTGCAGCATTTCCTCGGTGTTCTGACGAGTAACAGGAAGAATGGGAACGCGCTCTTCCGTCACATGCTGGGTAACAGAATCTGTGAGCTCTACTTGAATGAGCATATTGGGCCACCCTTACCACTAAAACCTCAGATCATTCAGGGCCTAAAGAAACTCCTGCCTTCTGGGGATGTGAACCCCTGGATCCCTAAAGCCCAGAAGGAAATCTGCAAGGTAGGATGTGTCTCAAAGAAATGGGTTAGCATCTGGCAGATTAGGTCAAGGCCAATAAAAAAACACCGTCTGATCATCTATACTCACTTCGTTAATGCTAGAGTTATTCACACAAACCTTCATACACTGGGGGTCTGGTTAATTTTCTAAGGTAAAAAGTTTTGTGACTTCTTGAAACAATCAAAACCTCCAAAGTTAAATGGCTGAATATGTGGTCAATACCTGCCTCCCACTGCCTCTCAGTCCTTCAAGTGCAGCCTCCCCAAACCACGAAATTCAGAGGACAGTACAGAAGTCTTAGACACTGGGAAGCAGTCTCCTCATTCTAATTTCATTTCCAGTGCTGTAATAAAACACCCTGGCAGAAGGCAACACAGGGGGGAAATGTTTATTTGGCTTACAGTTTTAGGTTGCTGTTCATTATTTCAGGAAAGTCAAGGAGGGAACTTAAAGCCTCACATCCACAACCAAGGGCAGAGAGAACAAATGTATCCATGCTGTCTGCTTGCTTTCGGGAGATTTCTTCACTTACATAGTCCCAGTGGACCCCACTCCCAGAATTTATTCTTTGAGACCAGGATGTTGAACCAGACCCAGAGCTCACAGATAGTTGCTCTTCACTGATAGAATTAGTCCTGACAGACAGCTGCTTCAGGGTGCCCCTTGATTCCGTCTTCCAAGGCTGAAATTACAGGCCACCTGTCATACCTCCATGGTATGTGTGTGGGCACCAGAGATCCAGATTCTGGTCCCCTCGATTGCAGTGGCAAGCGTTTTAACCACTGAGCCATCTCCCTATCCTGCTTTACAGAGCTCATCAGACAGTTTTCCAGAAACATCATAGGCACCTCACCGTTTTCAAAATAGTGCCCATGTCACTGAACCAGTCATTGAACCCCCTCATAGCGAGTGCTAACCCATTTTCTCTACCTCATCTCTTGCCATGCTTCCATCTCCCAGGCTCATTAGAAGAGAATACCCATTGTCCTTCAACACACCCTTTCTCCACTCTGTGCCTTTGCTAAGTGCCTCCTACTGCCCAGAATGCCCTGTCTGCATGACAGTCACGCATATGCTGCAAGTACCACACTGATGCTCACCCTTCTGGGAGGTTGGCTCCTTGGAACAAGTCTGGGGGTAGCAATTTGCACAGTGCCTGGCACATGGGAGGCACTTGGCAAATATTTGCCAAGTAAAGAAAGAATGTGGGTAAATAAATTCAGCCTAACACCAATTCATAGGTTTTGTTTTCCCTGAAATATGAAACAGCACTCACAAGTATGAGATGTCTCCAAGTTGGGGGTATGAGAGCAGAGTTGCTTGGTTTTCAATGCCATTTTGAGAAACAAAGACAGAGCTTTGGGAAGGCACTAGGCAGCATGCAGATTGCAGATATTAAGTGCTCTGAGCTACTTTGCCCTTTCAGTGTGTATTTATTGCTATTCTCCGAGACTTACTGAGAGCTGCTATATTTAAAAAAAAAAAAAAAAAAAAATGAGTGGCCGGGCGTTGGTGGCGCACGCCTTTAATCCCAGCCCTCGGGAGGCAGAGGAAGGCGGATCTCTGTGAGTTCGAGGCCAGCTTGGGCTCCAGAACGAGTGCCAGGATAGGCTCCAAAGCTACACAGAGAAACCCTGTCTCAAAAATCCAAAAAAAAAAAAAAATGAGGGACTGTCCACTGGATGTTGCCACCTCACTAGATCTGGAAGTAAGAAGCCAGACGCTGCAATCTGCTGTGTGGTGTAGCCACAGCTGGGAAGCCTTAGTCAGCTGAGGGCTCATCTTCTAATAGTCACTTTGTTCTTGAATTTCAGGTGCTCTGTCCCTGGTACGATGAATTCCTGAAAGAAGAGGACTACTGGTTTCTCGTTTTCACAGTAGGAGGGACTTTGGGTTGTGGAGAATTCAGGAGGGAAGGGAAAGTTCTTCTGTTTTAGAGTCTTAAGCCAAGTTAGGACTTCCCCCCCTCTCCCGGGGCAACTGGAGGTGGACACTGTCCCTGATATTCTAAAGAGGATAAACCTCTGGGGTTGGAAGGATGGATCAGAGGTTTAGAGCGCTTAATGAACTTTCAGAGGACTCAAGTTGCCAAGACCCACATTGGATAGGCCATAACTGTGTGTAACTCCAGCTCCAAAGTCTCTGATGCCTTCTTCTGGCCTTCGAACCCACACATGCATGTACACACACACACACACACACACACACACACACACACACACACGGAGAGAGAGAAAGAGAGATAAAAATACAAATTTTTAAAAAGAACATGCCGGGCGTTGGTGGCCCACTCCTTTAATCCCAGCACTCGGGAGGCAGAGGCGGGTGGGTCTCTGTGAGGTCGAGGCCAACCTGGTCTCCAGAGCGAGTGCCAGGATAGGTTCCAAAGCTACACAGAGAAACCCTGTCTCGAAAAACCAAAATAAATAAATAAATAAATAAATAAATAAATAAATAAAATAACATAAAGCTCTCAAGGAAAAAGACTCAATACATAGCTAATGCTAAGGAAGTTATATTCATGTACAATTCTCTCTTAGGGAAAATGAGTTGTATTATGAGGGGTGAAGGGGCATGACATGTATCTCCAAAGACCATCAGGCAAAGTCAATGTGACCAGGAGGCTTGGAGATGGAAGACTGAGCTGTCACAAATCTCTTGCTTCTGGCTGACTCCCACAACAGTTGTCTCTTCTCTTCTCCCAACTCCTCTCAGACTCAAGCACGCTTCATCAAAACCCGCTGGTATAAAAAAGAAGCCACAAGCAAAGAAGAGAGCATTCTTCTTTATAAGAGGATTCAGCAATCTCTGGTGTTAAGCCAGGGTTTGGCTAACTTGCAGGAAATGGAGTCTTTGCAGTGGCAAAAGGTGGCTACTGAGAGCCTGAAGCAGGGCGGCTCTCTCCAGGTAGAACTGACGACGTCTCCGATCTTCATAGATGGTAAGGGCAAGATGCTGCTTTCTGCTTCCATTGTCCAGGTTGATCTTCCGTGATGGTTCAGTATCTAGCATCTTAGGTCTTTGGGTCACGCATAACTGGACCATGAAAGGTCCTGTTATTCTCAAAAACCCTACAAGATCCTGACCTATGAGCTGCTAGTTCTGAAACTAATTCACAAAAAGTCAAAGCCAAAACCAAGAAAAACCTTAGCAAATTATTTGACATGTATGTAAAAAAGTTAATGCAATAGCAGAATATTCAAAATTCATTTGCATCTCCTCCTTTAAGAGGTGATTGTTTTGAAGGGATCAAAAACCATTTGGATAAATGAGTAACTTCTTAAACTGGATACTAGCAGAGAAGGCAGAACATACCCATTCTAGAATGGAGGGGAGTCTGTTTCTGTGATTCCAACTTAACTTAGAAAGTTTGTATTCTTTGTGTAAGTACCCCCATCTAAACACTATTGTCTGATTCAAATAATATTTTAAAGGCAATGTCTTCAATAAAGTACATGGATATTTGACCCTAAAATGGACGTCTAAACTCTGTCTTTATTTTTCCTTCACAGATGTAAACAAAATGTCCTTTGAGGAGCTTGCCTATAAGAATCCAAAGTTGGCCATAGAAAAGATCAGTGAAGATTACAAAATATACTGCGAAAAGGCACCTGCAAAAGGTAAGTTGCTACCATTATGTTTAAGGCAAATGTTTTTGTTTTTGTTTTTTTCAAATCTAAGAATTTCCAAACTCTAGAGGCCTAAGGCAAAAGAGGAATCATATCTTGTTTGCAAGGAGATAATTCTCCAGAGATAATCACCATGTACTCTCACTCTTACAGAGTCCTAGAGGGTGTGATGCAAACCAAAGGCAATTATAAATCACTGAGGATGGTAACAATTAAAATCATTTGAGGGGGTCCCTGCAGGTGTCTTACAGGGAAGTGAATCACACAAAGAGATAAGAATGAAAGCCGGGTGCCAACTGACTTCATCAATCTGGATCAGACTTCAGAGAGTATAATGGCAGGGGGGTTATTCACAATATTTTTAAGCCCAATACAACTTGAAAAAAAAGTTTCTGGGTAAAATACAATCCCTGGTGTACAAAGAAGCATAATTAAATTTAAACTCAACTCAGGGTACATGCCATTTTTCCAAGAAGATGGGTTCTAGAGCTAGGCTACCTGTACTAGTTTAAGGGCATAAGGGTCTGTCCTCTACAGATAGCAAAGATGTCATTTGGGCTGTTGGCCACCTCTGGTCCTGGTTGTGGAAGCTTGGGAGAGCTTCTGCCTATCAGGGTCATTAAGATTACTAGCCACCCCTGGTCCTGTTTGTAGGAGCTTAATATGGCCTGGCCCAACAGATCGCACAGATCACCAGACTGTTAATCACGTCAATTCTCAGCTTTCTGGGTGGAAGAACAGGTTTTACATCTTTCCCATTGTATAGACAATCCTGTGTGCTTAACATTCCTGGTTTCTCTAGAGATCTGTGGGCTCAAGGACCTTCATGCTATGTTCCCAACAATCATTCATTTCTTCTTTATTACTTAATAGACATTTAAAGTAATGTGACTTCATCTTCTGCCAAATTTCCTGGAGTCAAAGATTTTGCTGTTGTTTCTTTTGGAATTGTGGAAGTATGTTTGTTAGGATGGGGGCTCTGAGTGAGGAAAGCATTGAGGCTTTGACATCAGAACTCTCCAGATACCAGGGGAAGCTCCGAAGTTAGGATGGCTCTAATTGTCCCTCACTGAAGGAAAGTACCTAGGCTTTTGTACTGCCACCTTAACCCAGATGAGATGGGTTTGCCTTCGTGGGGGTGGAGATCAAGGTATACTACAACATTGGGTCATTCGGTTTCCTGTGGTTCAGGTAACAGAGGGAGCTGTGGGCTATCAGTAACCAACACTGCTGGGAGAATGAGTGCTTTGGTCCTAAAGGGAAGATTGCTTCATATAGAAATGCCATTGGGTCTTAGAGCAGCTTCTCCAGAGATCAGTTTGGTTTCTTGGGGAACATATTCTAAAAGAAAATTGAACCACTGCAATGTGTATAGAGAGGAAGGCTTCTCCGCTCCCTCCTCTGCTCCCTGTGCTGGGCTCTCATCTCCCTCAACCAGCACCTCTGCTGGTCTTGGAGAACCTACCAGGCAGGGCTGAATAACCTAGCCTTTCATCCCTGATGTATCTGAGATCCACTTTGTCATGAGTTCTCTGGCTGTTGCTGCTTCATTTGATGATGTATCATCAATATTGGGCTGAGGAGTACCAAAGAGCAGCACAAAATTGTCCCTTTATCTTACTATCCCCAAATAGTTGGGCTCATTCTATTTTACTCCTTTTCCATGTTTATGCTTCCCTTCTCTGATCATGAGATTCCCACTGTCTTAAATTTACTTATTTTTTTAATAGTCCCATCCCGTGAGTAGTCTGTCTTTACTACCTCTCCCCACCCCTGCACCTTTGTTTTCACAAATGCCAGTCTCCCCTCTCCTGGTCTTCAGTGCTTTGCACTGGCACCTTCATGCCTGAGGAACTCCTTACTTTGCAAGAACTCCACAGCCACTGTCAGGCTGATCCTTTGAGGGAAAACCTTCCTTATCTGGCTTGCTCTAATTGACTCCACCTAGCAGGAATAAGGGTCCCAAGTCGAGGTGTCAAGTATGAGGACCAAAGATGAGAAATAAAGAGAAAATCAATAGCTGGGACCAAGATGCCTTGCATAAGCTGATGCATCATGCCAAGCAAGTTTATTAAGAAGCACAGCATCATATATACTATTTGCAAAAGGTAAAACAACCAAGGTCAGCAGGGAGCTAAGTCAGACAATGTCGGCAAAGAGAATACGGGATACCTCAGTCACAGCTGTCTAAGCACTGATGATCCTAGCCCAGGAGGAAGAACTGGGGTCCCGGAAACCACAATGTTGAATCCTACAAGGCACTGGTTCCAGCCCAGCACCAGACTTTGTCCTTTCATGAGGGCCTTTGAGGCCTCTTGGGTCAGTCTGGCTTCCCACATCTAACAATTTATGTCAGGCCATCACTGCATGTAGTCACTCTACCTGACACTGAGGTTCTGACCACCACCTTTGTGGGAGCTCATAATGACTCCAACTTCTGTCTTGATTCCTTTTTGACTTAGGTTAGAGAGTTCAAGCTTGTTTTGGCTCCTTCCAAGGTCAAACAGGATATTCGGCCTAAGGTGTAGCAACTAGATGTTTTGCTCCTGAAGACCTAATAACAGGATGTTTGACTTAGGGCATTGCTATTAAATGTGTTGAATATTAAGGAAGTAATTGTTCTTTGTATCATGGAAAAGAAGATGTGTCCTCCCCTTGGGCTTGGGGTAGAAAAGGGCTATAAAAAATAAACTCGAGGCTAGAGTATTCACTGACAGCCCAGCTGAATATATCCTATGTCTATTTCTTTTGTGTCTCTGTTATTTCTACCTGCAATTTCTCAATCCACATGCCTCCCTCCAAGTACAGACAAATTAGTCTGGCTCGACACACCTTTAACCCAGCTATCCCTTCCTGGGGATGTATGTATTCTCCTTGTTATCCTTGTTAAGGCCTTGTTCATACTTGCCTGGACTTTCTTACCCCACAAGCAATGACCCCTTAACATGGATAGCCTCAATTTGCTCAGCTTCTGACATCCCATGTGGGCCCACCCCTAGAGGAGATCACTTTCACTCTGCCTAAGCTTGTTGGCTTAGGTAGAATGTTGATCCGTGTTGGCTTGATTTCTTTCCTTTAATACAGACATTCTTTCTCAGCCCACTTGGACTCTTCACACTGTGCCAGCCTTTTGTGATGCCCTCCAGTTTCTGTTTCTGTTCTGCATGCTCCAGATGTATGGCCCTTCTTCCTATGGATCCTCTGTCCACCTTGGTTAAGTGTCTGAGCCAGAGCAAAGAAGCTTCCTATAGGGAAGGTCTTCTGACTGTGCTGGGGATCTGGTAACCCGCTGGGTCATTGTGATTCATTCCCCCTTTTGGTGTTAGCACTTACCTAACTTGTTTTTGATTTTACCCCTAATGCTTATATAATTTAATTGCTGATGGGTTAAGGGCACTTGCTACTCTTGCAGAGTGCTCTAGGTAGTTTCAGTTGTCGTTTTTACTCTTACAACACTCCTCAAACCAAAGAAATGATATAGCCATCCTGCTGATTGCCAAATAACCCCATTCCAAGTAGACATTTTAGGGACTGGAGAAATGACTTTAATAAAGATCCGTGGACATAGTGTGAATTGGACTTGGTCCAGGACTCCATCTAAACCTAATTCTGACAAGCACTTTCTCTAATGAGAGTCTGTGATGACATTCTGGGTATCCAGGCAACAATGTTGATCTTTCCATTGGTGTTTTAATTTTCTTTCTAACCATCATGATAAAATACCTGAAGGGGGGCAGCTCTAAAGGAGAAAAGGGTTCTTGGGTTTTCTTTTTTTTTCAGATTTCTTTTATTTGAATTAGAAACAAATTTGTTTTACATGTCAATCCCAGTTCCCTCCTCTCCTCCCCTACCACCCCCCTCAACTAAAACCCTACCTATCACATATCCTTTCTGCTCCCCAGGGAGGATGAGTCCTTCCATGGGGGGGCGGGTCATCAGAGTCTATCATATCCTTTGAGCTAGGGCCTAGGCCCACCCCTGTGTGTCCTGGTTCAGGGAGTATCCCTCTATGTGGAATGGTCTCCAAAAGTCCATACCTATGCTAGGGAAAAGTACTGAACTACTACAGGAGGTCCTGTAGATTTTCAAGGTCTCCTCACTGGAACCCACGCTCCTGGGGTCTCCATCAGTCCCATGCTGGTATCCCAGCTATCAGTCTGGTGACCAAGAGCTCCCCGTTGTTCAGGTCAGCTGTTTCAGTGGGTTTCTCCAGCCTGGTCTGGACCCCTTTGCTCATCACTCATTCTTCTCTGTAACTGGATTCCAGTTCAGTTCAGTGATTAGTTGTGGGTGTCTGCTTCTACTTCCACCAGGGTTCTTGGGTTTTCAATTCAGGTAGAACCAAAGCAGGAACTCAGAAAATGAGTCACACCTGAAGTCAAGAGGGAAGGGTCTTCCTCTTTGTTTTACTTTTTAAAGGAATGTCCAGTTTTTTAAACTTCTTGCATTTACAAAATTGCCAGCTATCTTAAGAAAAATGTAGCATGGGAAGTTTTTCTATTTTTTTTCAAGCCTGGAACTTTGTTTATGTTCACTATGGATTAAACACTAAAAATTATTATTTCAACATACTCTTCCCATTTTCACCATCTTTATTTTTCTAACCTTTATGTTTTAACTGAATTTCTTATTGGTTTATTTATGACTTAGAATTTTTGTTTTAACTCAAGTATTTTGCTTTTATAACTTGGTGGATTTTCTTTTTGTGTTATATCAAGTCTTCTACAGTCTGGGTTTCATTTTTTAAATCATTCAGTTGCATTTATTTAGAATCAATGTATATACCTATGACTTTCAATAGTTTTTGTATGCTGCCTATCACAGAAATATTATCAAATCACACAAAAATACTCTGTGTGTGCACATTCTATTTAGTATGCATATTAAGCCATTGACTATAACTGGGTCATGTTCTGATTTTGAGATGACTCTGTTTCATTTTTTTTTTTTTGGGTTTTTCGGGACAGGGTTTTTCTGTGTAGCTTTGGAGCCTATCCTGGCACTCACTCTGGAGACCAGGCTGGCCTCGAACTCACAGAGATCTGCCTGCCTCTGCCTCCCGAGTGCTGGGATTAAAGGCGTGCGCCACCAACGCCCGGCAGAGATGACTCTGTTTCTACCTTGATGATTTTATAGTCAGCATTTTTCTTCCATAAAATTAAAGAGTCTTAGGTAGTCAAGGTTAGCCTCAAACTTGGTTTGTAATTAATAACCTTGAATTTCAGATCTCCTACTTCCACTTTGTAAATTCTAGAATTTGGGCAATAACATCACATTGTGCTGGGGATTGAGCCCAGGGCTTCATGAAGGCAGGGCATGGACTCTGTCAATCAAATGCCATCGCAAACCCCCAAAGGGATTTGATAATGGTGAGATCCGTGGGATCCATTATTTTTCAAAAACATTAAAATACATTTCTTGGAATAACTGTCCTAAAGTGCATCACAGAGCAAGGCACCTGTTCTGAATTGTGTGGGGGTTGCCAGAATACCATTGCAATGCCACATCTTTGGAAAGAAAACCATTTTAATAAAAGAAAGAAGTTGATTGGAGCCTCTTAAAGTTGATAACAACAGTCAGTAAGTTCAATGATTACAAAGCAAAACTTTCAAATGGCGTGCAGAGTGCTTCTGAGAGGAGAGCCAAGGTGTCAACAAAGACAGAACAGCACATGCATTGTGGTTGAATGAAAAGGTCAGATTGGAAAGCAGGTGGCATCTCCTCTTAGTAATGTACCTAAAAGTATAGTGGACTTGGTCTCAGCAGTCTCTCAGGAAGGTGGGCTCTAGGCCTGATGGCCAACATGAGCATCTAAGACAGCTTGACCTGATGACAGTGTCCGGGTGTCCAGTGGCCTGATACAATAGTTGTAGCTGATGCCTGAAAAATGTCCCTTACTATTATCTCTTTATAAAATATTATTACCTAACTTTGTGGTCTTTCTCAGGGTTTACAGTGGCAATTGTCAAGCAGCCAAAACAGGCAACCACACAAAGGAAACAATCCTTTAAGAAAGCTGTCATAAGGAAGCCTTCCCTGAGACCAAGGTAAGATGGGGGAATCTGGCTACAGCAACATCTCTAGGCACAGACTTCATTTGTGTGTGGAGGTTCCCAGACCTTTTTCTGTAGATCATATGCATCTGAACAAGACACTGTGAATGTTAAGTTGCTTGTTTTATAAAGTATTGTATGACATATATTACAAAATAACTTCCTAAAACTTAAACTATCACAGACAATGTTTTAAAAGTTTTATTTGTTTATATATATATATATATAGTTAAACCATCTATAATATATATAACCTCTATTATTCCCTTCTCATCTAACTTGTTCTCTAGTTTCATTTTTTTAACCAGTGTGTGTGTGTGTGTGTGTGTGTGTGTGTGTGTGATCCTATACAGAGAGTTACTTTCATGAGAATAGCTAAGAGTTATTTACCTGAGCAAGGGCCAAGTACCACTGGCTATACCACTATGACTCCTCTTCTCTCAAGTAGGCTTCATCCCAGGGATGCAAGGATGGTTCAACATATGAAAATCCATCAATGTAATCCACCATAAAACAGACTGAAGAAAAAAAACCACATGATCATCTCACTAGATGCTGAAAAAGCCTTTGACAAAATCCAACACCCCTTCATGATAAAGGTCTTGAAGAGATTAGGGATAACAGGAACATACCTTAACATAATAAAAGTAATATACATTAAGCTGACATTAATTAAATTAAATGGAGACATTAATTAAATGGAGAGAAACTCAATGCAACTCCTCTAAAATCGGGGACAAGACAAGGCTGTCCACTCTCTCCATATCTCTTCAATATTAAGTTCTAGCTAGAGCAATAAGACAACAAAAGGAGATCAAGGGGGTACAAATTGGGAAGGAAGAAGTCAAACTTTCACTATTTGCAGATGATATGATAGTCTACATAAATGACCCGGAAAACTCTACCAGGGAACTCCTACAGCTGATAAACACCTTCAGCAAGTGGCAGGATACAAGATTAACTCAAAAAAATCTGTAGCCGTACTATATACAGATGATACATTCATGGAGAAAGAAATCAGAGAAACATCACCCTTTACAATTGCCACAAACAACATAAAATATCTTGGGGTAGTGCTAACCAAAAAAGTGAAAGACCTGTACCATAAGAATTTTGAGTCTCTAAAGAAAGAAATTAAAGAAGATACTAGAAAATGGAAGGATCTCCCATGTCCTTAGGTAGGATCAACATAGTAAAAATGGCAATCTTGCCAAAAGCAATCTACAGATTCAATGCAATCCCCATCAAAATCCCAACACAATTCTTCACAGACCTTGAAAGAACAAGGTTGTTTTGGCTATCCTGGATCTTTTGTTTTTTCATATAAAGTTGAGTATTGTTCTTTCGAGGTCTGTGAAGAATTGTGTTGGGATTTTGATGGGGATTGCATTGAATCTGTAGATTGCTTTTGGCAAGATTGCCATTTTTACTATGTTAATACTAACTATCCAAGAGCATGGGAGATTATCTCTATATAGTAGTACTATAGATTTTTTTGAGTTAATCATGTATCCTGCCACTTTGCTGAAGGTGTTTATCAGCTGTAGGAGTTCCCTGGTAGAGTTTTTCCGGGTCACTTATGTAACCACTCATATCATCTCCATATAGTGAAAGTTTGATGCCTTCCTTTCCAATTTGTATCCCCTTGATCTCCTTTTGTTGTCTTATTGCTCTAGTTAGAACTTCAAGTACAATATTGAAGAGATATGGAGAGAGTGGACAGCCTTGTCTTGTTCCTGATTTTAGAGGAATCAATTTGAGTGTCTCTCTATTTAGTTTGATGTTGTCTGTTGGTTTGCTGTATATTGCTTTTATTATGTTGAGGCATGTTCTCTCCATTTAATTTGATGTTGGCTGTCGGCTTGCTGTATATTGGGTTTAATATGTTTAGGTTATGTTCCTGTTATCCTTTATCTCTCCAAGACCTTTATCATGAAAAGGTGTTAGATTTTGTCAAAGGCTTTTTCAGTATCTAGTGAGATGATCATGTGATTTTTCTTTCTCAGTTTGTTTATATGGTGGATTACATTGATGGATTTTTGTGTGTTGAACTATCCCTGCATCCCTGGAATGAAGCCTACTTGATCATGGTGTATGATTTTTCTGATGTGTTCTTGGATTCGATTTGCCAGTATTTTATTGGGTATTTTTTCATCAGTGTTCATGAGGGATATTGGACTATAGTTCTCTTTCTTAGTTGTGCCTTTGTGTGGCTTGGGCACTAAGGTTATTATAGCCTCGTAAAAAGTTTGGCAATGACCCTTCTACTTCTATTGTGTGGAACACTTTGAGGAGTATTGTTATTAGCTCTTTGAATTTCCACTGAGGCCATCTGGCCCTGGGCTTTTTTTTTTTTTTTTTTTTTTTTGGTTGGAAGACAATATATTGATGACTGCTTCTATTTCATTAGGGGTTATAGGTCTATTTAAATTAGTTATCTGTTCTTGATTTGATTTTGGTAGGTGATATCTATCCAGTAAATTGCCCATTTCCTTTAAATTTTTGAATTTTGTAGAGTACAGGTTTTCAAAGTATGACCTGATGATTCTCTGGATTTCCTTAGTGTCCATTGTTATGTCCCCCCTTTCATTTCTGATTTTGTTAATTTGCATGTTCTGTCTGCCTTTTGGTTAGATTGGATAAAATTTGTCTATCTTGTTGATTTTCTTTAAGAACCAACTCTTTGTTGCATTGATTCTTTGTATTGTTTTCTTTGTTTCTACTTTATTGGTTTCAATTTGATTATTTCCTGGCATCTACTCCTCCTCGGTGAGTTTGCTTCTTTTTGTTCTAAAGCTTTCAGTTGTGCTGTTAATTCTCTAGTGTGACAATTCTGCAGTTTCTTCATGTGGGCACCTAGTGCTGTGAACTTTCCTCTTAGCACTGATTTCAAAGTGTCCCATAAGTTTGGGTATGCTGTGTCTTCATTCTCATTGAATTCTAGGAAGTCTTTAATTTCTTTTTTTATTTCTTCCTTGACCCAGGAATGGTGCAATTGGGCATTGTTCAATTTCCATGAGTTTGTAGTGTTTCTACAATTTGTGTTGTTGTTGAAATCTAACTTTATAGCACGGTGGTCCAATAGGGGGTTAATCCAATTTTTTGTATCTGTTGAGGTTTGCTATGTTGCTGAGTATGTGGTTAATTTTAGAGAAGGTTCCATACGGCACTGAGAAGGTATATTCTTTTGGGTTTGGATGGAATAGTCTGTAGATGTCTGTTAATTGGGTCATAACTTCTGTTAGTTCCTTTGTTTCTTTGTTAAGTTTCTGTCTGGTAGTCCAGTCTAGTGGTGAGAGTCAGGTGTTGAAGTGTCCCACTATAAATGTTTGAGGTTTTGTGTGTGATTTGAGTTTTAGTAATGTTTCTTTTATGAACATGGGTGCCTTTGTATTTGGGGCATAGATATTCAGAATTGAGACTTCATCTTGATGGATTTTTCCTGTGATGAATATGAAATGACCTTCTTCATCTCTTTTGATTGATTTTAGTCTGAAGTCTAATTTGTTAGATATTAAGATTACTACACCCACTTATTTCTTGGGTCCATTTGATTGGAAAATCTTTTCCAAAACCTTAACTCTAAGGTAATTTCTGTCTTTGAAGTTGAGGTGTGTTTCTTGTATGCAGCAGAAGGATGGATTCTGCCTTCTTATCTATTCTGTTAGCCTGTGTCTTTTTTAATATTTAGGGATATTAATGACCATTGATTGTTAATTCTTGTTTGTTTTGGATTTGTTGGTGATGGTGGTGTTGTGTGTGGATCTCCCCTTTTGTTTTCTTTTGGCTGTTGGAAAAGTGGGATTATCGCCTATTTTTTTGTGAGTGTAGTTAACTTCCTTGGGTTGGAGTTTTCCTTCCAGAACTTTCTGGGGCTGGATTAGTGGATATGTATTGTTTAAATCTGGTTTTGTCATGGAGTATCTTGTTTTCACCATCTATAATGATTGAAAGCTTTGCTGGGTATAGTAGTCTGGCCTGGCATCCTTGGTCTCTTAGTGTTGATAGGATATCTCTCCAGGACCTTCTGGCTTTCAGAGTTTCTGATATGTTTGCCTTTATGTTACTTGGCCTTTTTCCTTTGCTGCTTTTAATATTCTTTCTTTATTCTGTATGCTTTGTGTTTTGATTATTATTTGGCCAGGGGACTTTTTTTGTGGTCCACTCTATTTGGTGTTCTATATGTGTCTTGTACTTTTATTGCCATGTCTTTCTTTAGATTGGGAAAGTTTTCTTCTATGATTTTGTTAAATATGTTTTCTGTACCTTTGAGGTAGGCTTCTTCACCTTCTTTATACCTATTATTCTTAGATTTGGCCTTTTCACAGTGTCCCATATTTCCTGGATATTTTGCATTAGAGATTTGTTGGACTTAAGATTTTCTTTGGTCGATGAATCTGTTTCTCCTAGTGTATCTTCAATGCCTGAGATTCTCTCTTCCATCTCTTGTATTCTGTTGGTTATGCTTGCATCTGTAGTTCCTGATCGTTTACCCAGCTTTTCTATTTCCAGCATTCCCTCAGAATGTGGTTTTTTATTGTCTCTATTTCAGCTTTCAAGCCTTGCAGTGCTTCAATTGTTTGGTTGTTTTTTTCTTGACTTTCCATGTTTTCTTTAAGAGATTTGTTTATTTCTTGCAATTTTTGGGTTGTCTTTTCTCCATTTCTTGAAATTTTTGTGTTTTTTTTTTCCATTTCTTTAAGGGATTTTCTTATTTCCTCTTTGAAGGTCTCTATCATCCTCACAAAGTTGTTTTAGAGTCATTCTCTTCTGTTTCATCTGTTTTGGGATGTTCAGGTCTTGCTGGTGTGGAGTCCCTAGACTCCGATGGCATCATATTGATCTTTCTGCTGTTGACTGTGTTCTTATACTGTCATCTTCCCATCACTTCTTCTAGTGGATGCCAGTGGGGTCTCTCCCTCTCCTGGTGGGTATGGGTCCAAGGTTCTCTTCTGGTTGGTGCAAGCAGGTCCAATACACCAATGGCTGTCCTCTTCCCGTGGGTGGAGGTGGGACTAGCACTGCAATGTCAACAGACTCTAGATGGCCTGGTTCACCGTGTACAGTCCCCAGGCCTGAGGAGGCTCAGAGCCTATTTGCATCCTTTTTATTATAATGTTTAAAATAAAATAAAAATAATGGGGGAAAAACTTTTTTAAAAAATTCGATCTCTGTGAGTTCAACGCCAGCCTGGTCAACAGAACAAGTTTCAGGACAGGCTCCAAAACAATACAAAGAAACCCTGTCTCGAAAAACCAAAAAAAAAAAAAAAAATAAATAAATAAAAATTAAATAAATAAAAAAAACATAGCAGGTACCTTGTGGAAACACACTGTGGGAAGCAGTGCTCTCTAGAATTCACCCCCGTGAGTCAATTAAGGAAAATAAACTAGAAGAAAAGCAAATAAAACCATCAATAGCAAAGACTTGAGGAAAGTGAAGAGAGAGAGAGTGGGCTCCACCTCCAGAGTTGCTGCAATAGTCACACAAAACAAAACCAGAGAAGCACAGAATGTGTGCGGGAATGTATCAGGCAGCAGATTGAAAGTGGTTCTCAAGCGGTTCCTATTTGGACTTGTCAAGAACATCTAAGAAACTATTCAACAAACTAAAGGAAATTATGTTTGAAGAGTTGAAGGAACATATGGCAGCAATCATTAATGAACTAGAGAAAATCAATAATGAGACAAATTATAAAACAACCAAATTCAGATCTGGGGTAGGAAAAGCATAGTAACTGAGTGAAAAGCTTGCTAGACAGAATCCGAAGGTTTAATCTGGAGGAAGATCCAGGGACCTGGAAGACGGCTCGATGGACGTTATCTAGTCTGCAGGATGAGGACCCACACAGTAGAAGGAGCCAACTCCCCGTAGTTATCCTTTGACCTCCATCTCTGTGTTGTGTAACATACAACACAGGCAGGAAGACAGACACAGACACACAAACATACAAGGACACAAATATAACTTAAATTTTGTTAAAAAATAAGGATGGAAAAGAGAGGACTGTACAGAAATTGAGATTTTTAGGAAATGGGAGGATCAGATTCAACAATGTAATGTTGAATGCCTGGGTTTCTAAAAGCAGACTCAAAGCGAGGTAAACGTATTAGTAAATCTATAGAAACAACAACATAATTGAAATTTTTTTAAAAACATAGTCCAAGCACCATCAAGAAGTAGTATTTTTGTCAGGTGTAATGGTGCACGTCTTTAATCCCAGCATTTGGGAGGCAGAGGCAGGCAGATCTCTCAAAGTTCAAGGCCAGCCTCATCTGCAAAGCAATTACTAGGCCAGCCAGGACTACACAGTTAGACCCAGCCTCAAAATAAGTGGTAGGTGTTTAATAATTTGATTTTTTCATATTGCATAACATGAGCAGTATCATTGGAGAACTCTGTGAGCTATTTAAAGCAAAGGCAGTGCCAACATTACAATCACTCTTTGAGAGAACAGAAGTAACTCTCACTTATCCTATGAGTCCAGTATCGTCCTGAGTCCCAAATAAGAGGCATCATAAAAACACACAGACTAGTACTTCTCTTTGAATCTAGGCATACAAATCTTCAATGAATAGTAACCTAAATCCAGTAACAAATGAAAGTCTCACGTAGCATAACCAAATAGAATTTATCTGAGTAACACAAGATTGAGTTAACACTCAAATGTCAAAATAATATTTAGAATGAGTGTATATTAAAAAGAGATTTTTTTAGATTGTATAATACAATACAGCTGGTGTAGTCCAACAATGGTTTTCTCACACTGAAGAGATTGAGAACCCAGTGGTCGTTCAGTTTATAGGCCTCAGGACTCCCAGTCTGGTGCTGAAGACAGGGAGGATTTCTGGAGAGTCACTGGTTTTCACTCATTTGTTTACCTTGAAGAAACTGACTCTAATATCAGTGAAGAAATAAATGCAGCAGCAACTGGATGCATGAACTTGGCAGTGAGAGTGAAGGCAAGGAGACAAGAACAAAATTTTTCTTCCATTTCCCTTTCATCTGGGCTGACACTGAAAAAGTACCACCTATATTTAGGATGGCCCTTTTCGGTTCCAATAATCCGATCAAGAAAATCTTTCGCAGCAGGGCCTATTGACTTGCCTTTTAAATCAATTCCAGATCCAATCAATTCGATAATCAAGATTAACTATTACGTGTATCACATTGAATAAATGAGGTAGAAAACTTCTGAGTATCTCAGTTGATACTAAGTCTCTCATGCCATCTATTCATGATTTAAAAAAAAAAAAACTTTCAAAATGAGACTAGAAAAAACTATCTCATTCTGATAAAGGATATCTATCAAAAACCTATAGCTAATATCCAACAAAATGTTATATGTACATAAAGGAGATGGGTAACTTGGTCAAAAGATGGGCCCATGCAGAGAGCTTTGGATGAGAACTGTGACATAAAATGAGATTAAGTGGCCAGTTAAAATTGGAGAATCGAGCAAATAGAGATATAGTTGCGCCATGCCAGTGAAGATGAAACCCCAGAGGGAGCACAGCCCACTCAGAAAAGACTGAGAGAAAAGGAAAGAGGACTGTGGGTGAAACATTAGAGCTAACTCCATTCAAGGAGCAGCCAGAGGTGATGGCGCAAGCCTTTAATCCCAGCACTCGGGAGGCAGAGGCAGGCGGATCTCACAGGCTGAGGCGCAGACACTGTAACCAGTTCGTTCACTGCTCCGTGGAGAACAGTCTCCACAGTCATTATCCTTTCCCCCTCTACCAATAGTGCTCTCTTTTCCAGGAACATGACGGAAGTCCTCCTAAATACCCCACACCTGGAGCACTTCCGGGAGTTCCTCAAAGAGCGGAAGGCTGAAGCCCCGTTGCTGTTCCTGTTAGCCGTACAGAAGATCATGTTGGAGACCAATGATAAAGCTTATAAGACTGGTTTGGAAAGTATAGTCAAGACTTACTTCCACAGCAAGATCCCTCCTGGTATGCCTCTCTTTCTCCTAATTCTCGCTTCAGTTTCTTGGGAGGAAAAGTCTGGGAAACAGCCTGGCTCCACGAAAACCCCAAGAGAGCGGAACAAGGGAGTCGCTTCATGGGGGCAATATTGAGACAGTGACAATGAATGTGGAAAACAACGTTAAGCCCAACGCCATAATATTAGTGAAAGGAGCCACATAAGATACATTCATATACATGCTCATTAATCTCACTTCATGTTGGAAATCAAAACTTTAATCCCTGTAAGGTAGGGACAAAGAACTGTGTTTTCTAAACAAAGAAAGTAGAACTCATTGAAGTTAACTAGCTTAACTACAATTAAGTATTGGCTCATAACTCCACAAAAGAGGGTGAGCCGGTGTCCCACTGGAGGCAAGTGGTAAAACAGAGAGCTTTGTGTCTGTCCTGGAGGAGGGGGTAGAGTTTGTGTAGGTGGAGAGGGGCTTGGTTATTGGCTGGTTTTTATTTGCTTGCTTGCTTGCTTTGGTTTTGTTCATAGTTATCCAAGACAAGAGTGTAAATAGAAAAGGTTTGAAATGAACCAGTCTCTTTAGTTCATTAGTTTTTTATTAAACAGGGTATTGCCACATATTCCAGACAGGGCTTGAAGCTTATTATATAGCCCAGATTGGCCTGAAGCTCTCATACCTCCCACTTCTGGCTGCCACTTGCTACAGACATGCCCCAGCCCAGCACGCCACAATTTGTAGGTCACAATTTGTAGGTGCTTTCGAATGTGGTAATAATGAACCCAGGGGAATCACCAATATTGTACAGTGTCATGTTGAGGAATTATAAGAAATTAAAAAGCACTTACACTTACCCGTGGTATAACTTAAACAAGAGGGAGCCAAGATTTGAATTCTCTAATTGTTCCCTGTGTCTTCCATCGTCCTCTCTCTATCTGAGTCTGAAACTGTGCCTGCCTGCATGCTGTCTTGTGAATCTGTCCTGCTGTCTGTGTCTGAGTGTTCCCTAACAAAGGACTTTGCTCTCTTATTAGATAGCACAGAAAGCACCATGTGGGGAAGGAATGGAGTATTTTACGGAAATGTCTAACAGTCTTCAAATGATGGAGTCACTGATTCTAACTGGGCCCAGCCAACCCAGATAACAAACAATCCAACACTATCATGCAATATCCATACGTTGCTCCTGACATTTATGGTGGGCATTCAGTTTATAAATCTGGTTTGGTCCTATTTTTCTGACCTCAGCGAATGATTATCATAACATACATACACATATGCACTCTTCTTGGGACAGGGCATGGAAGAGTACACGCTTAAAGTTGCAGCTCTGTATTAGCTTCCCTTGTTACAATTAATTACAGGGGAAATCTAAGGCAAGGAATGTTAGTTGTGACAGTGTTCTCTTAAGGGCAGGTTAATGGTCTAAGTAAGTACACAGCAGTAGTAGTCTTAAGCCTTAAGTGACCTCAAGGTACATTGTTAACTCTGTGTGGTCCAGCCAAAGTTCCTGTCTCTTAGAATGGAAGAGATATTTTTTCATAATGCATTGATATATATATATATGTATATATATATATACATATATATATATATATATATATGAAATATTTATTTGCTGGTTTACGGTATGAGTTCTATATATAGCTATGGAGGGGGAGTCTAGCACCCAAATGTTCCTCTGATGCATTTTCAAGTCTTGTTAACAAACCTTCTGACTTCTGAACACGAGAAGCACCACACCGCACTCAGCATTGAGATTTGTGTCTTGGACTCTCCTGCACCCAAAGATTGTGTTTCCCTCCTTTCCTCCGAAGCCTCCCCTGAAACTGAGAAACTTCACCCCAGCTGCAGAAGCGAGTTTAAAATTTAAGATTTTGTGTCCCTTTAAGCTTTCATCTTTGAAATGGGACTAAGAAAAATAGCATTTTGACTACAAAAACAGTTTCCCATAACATTTGAAATATCCTTTAGAGACCTGCGAATTGTAGAAGGCTCAGAGTGAGAACAGAGGGCCATGAGATTTTCACATGGAACCACGAAGCAGTAGACAGAAATGACGCTCCCCCGTCTCTGTCTCTCTGTCTCTCCCTCCCCTTCTCTCTCATCATCTAGAGGAACTGCTGCAATGTGATACTCCGCTTATCAAAGAAATTGCTCACATGCGTCACATCACCACCACCACACTGCTGATGCTCCAGAGCAATGTGATGAAATCTCTGGAAGAAAAGTGGTGAGCATGCTCAGAGAAGACAGGTGCCTTCTGGAGTTGCTTCCTGGCTTTGAAAAGCCATATTAAGCAAAGGTCTCCTAGTCTTCATAGTGTACTGACAGAGCCCTCCAAGAGAAACACCAAACTTACTTGGAAATCTCCTGCCTGCCAGCACCAGTGCCACACACACACACACACACACACACACACACACACACACCTACACAAATACACACACACATACACAAACATACACATATACACAAACACACATACACATAAACCCTCAAACACACAGACACAAACACCTATACACGAACATATATACACAAACACACACATATACAAACACACACATACACACATAGAATTATACACACAAACATACACACCCTCAAATATACATACACACAAACACATATACACAAACATACACACACACACACACACACACATATACAGGATAAGAAAGAATACAGTGTTGTGAAGACAGGCTGACTTTATATAAGAATTAAGACAGCAGGAGAAGTGCAGAAGCTGACTTTGAAACAAGGCTGTCTTGCTATGTTTCACGCACCATGAATTTGTCTTTGATATTCTTGGTCTCCTTTCTGGTAGGTTGAAAGAGTACCAAGACCTGTTCCCACCGCGTCCTTTGGAGGCGGAACTTGAAACACAGTCTCTCCCTAGGAAGCCCTCCAGGCAAATGGCACACATACAGGAATTCCAGGTCAGTGAGGAGGAAGAGAAAACGACATTACAGACAGGAAGGTCATTGTCTAGGCTCTGTAGGCTATACAAAAGATTATCCCTGTTAGGCCATTTGATATGACACTGGAAGACTTAGTCTTGGGTGTGAGGGTCATGTTTTAAGCCGCATTTACAAAAGGGCAATCTGAGACTCAGAAGAAAATATACTGGGGAATCTTTTTTGATTTGCCTCTGTCACCAACTAAGTGACAGGCACAAAGGTTAGATACACGTAAATGAAACTGTCAGTTTTTTTGCTGCCCATGGTCATTTGGAGGGTGTGGATTGGCCATTAGGCCAAATGGTTTGCTAATCTTTCTGCCCCAAGATTAGTCTGATCTACACATCCAATCCCTGGCAATGTAAGCCTCCCCCTGCATAGACCTAGAAACAGGTGTCCCACAGGCCAGTAAATCCCAGAGAGACAGTGTCAGTGGTTGGCACTGAGAGTGCCACTTCCTTCTCCCAAGCACAGCTACCCCTCTCACCCTGTGTCCAGTGGGAAGAGAGAACAGGGGAAGATGGGAAGGGTCCTCAGGGAATTCTTTTCATGTGGTTTGGAAAAGCACATAAACTCACTGATGGAGCATGTTGAGTTGGTTAGACAGAAAAGTTTGAGCCTGATTCTATCCAACTCCAAAGATGAAGTTAAGATATAGCTGGAAATAAGATTTAACCCCAATATTGTAGCCATGAAAAAGTGCTACTCTTTTTCCCTCTCCACTCCCTCTGTTTATGATACAGATCTGGCAGGGTACCACAAATAATTGGATGTTCGAAAGAATATATGTAGAACCAGAGAGTTCTGTTTCAATTTCAGCTCTTCCAGGTCAGACAGAAAGAAACCAAATGTTCTTACTGCCTGCTGTGGGCCACACACTTCGTTATACACACTAAGGCTCACCACAACCCTGAAGGCTACTAGTTTTGTCTTACACAAAGTAAATTGTCTTACATAAGTAAATTGACCCAAATGGCACATCTATGGAGAAGCTATGCTCTACTGGAAAAGTTTCTAGCCCCTGAATCCAGTTCGAGTGCTTCACTACTGGCTCCCTGAAGCCACCTTTGCCTTCATCTTCTCTCTCCGAGAACTGGGGTACAGGAGTGGGCACTCTCACCAACAAGATGTTTTTTGGATCGGTGTATCAAATTTTTAGAGGCAAATGAGCTGGAGAATGGCTTCCCTGTACCTAGTAAAGGTGTGCAGAAACGGAATGTATTTACTTGTGTCGGGGAGAGGCATGAATGAGGGAGTGGGTATGTGTAAATTTTTCTTAAGGGTCAGAAGGACTTGGGTTTGCTCATTTCTCTATTTCTTTAGACCTTTAAGATCTACTGAGCTGACATTTCCTCCTGTGAGCAGAAACTGGCCTCAGTCCTGTGCCTTCCAGTGCTGGCCCTTGCTGCTGGAAGGCAGTGAGGTAGAATGAGTTTGAGTCAAGGCTCTATGATGACTGGAGCTGGGCTCTTCTAGTCACTAACTACTTGATCTGAGACAGACTGACTTGAGTTTTCCCACCCTTGAAATGGGAACTCAAAAAGTATTCCTTTGTAGAAGTGAAGATTCTAAGTATAACCAATAGCAGGTTTGTGGCACAGTTGCCTCTTGGCCAACAGCAGCCATGTTAATGGAGGTTTGTGACACACAGTAGGTTCTTGGTCAACAGCAGCCATGCTAATGGATACGCTTTCCTTCTGCAGAGAAAAGGATGGGTGAAAATGATGAGCTTCATCAGGAGCTTTTGCAGTTACCGAAGATTCGTCACAAATCCCAAGAAACGCCAACAGTTTATAGATTTCATCCACCTGGAAATGTACAACACCAAGGAGAGTGAGTCACTCCCCTACTATCATGGTCAGCCCATGTGGGACTTCAAGCTATTGGCTTTGTGTCAGGTCTCATTGGCCCCAGTGAACAAGGACTACAGGACCTGGGTGGCCAGCCCTTCCCAGGCCTGCCTGGAGTGGTACTTCTCAAAGGGCCAGCAAGTGTGGAAAACATGAAGGCACTTAGAAAGCTCACATTTTTTCCAATTTTTTTATTTAAACTAGAAACAAGATTGTTTTACATGTCAATCCTAGTTCCCTCTCCCTCCCCTCCTCCCCTGACCCCCCACTAACACCCTATCTATCCCATTCCCTTTCTGCTCCCCAGGGAGGGTGAGGCCAGAAAGCTCACATTTTAAATATATAATATTTTTATTAATTCTTTGAGAATTTTATACATGTGTACACTATATTTTGATCATTAGCTTCTTGCTAATTCCTCTCAGATCCAACCCCCTCCTCTCCACCTCCTCTCTACCCCCTCCTCAACTTCATGTTCTTTGTGTTTTTATAACCTACCAAGTCCAATTTGTGCTGCTCATATGTTCATGCTGCCATCCACTATAGCATGGCTATCTTGCCAGAGAGGACCCACTTTTTATAAAAATATCTCCTTATGCTGTTTTATGTGGTCTTTAAAAAGTCTTTGAAGTTTTCCTGTCTATATAATTAATATATGTTACTAATAAAGAGGCAACAAAATTCCAAGAACATGAAAACCTTTAGAGATAACATCGCCAATGCTTTGAAGCCTACATTCTGATTATACATGCATACACATATATGTGTGTATAAATATACATATATATCTAAACTTTCCATTTATAACTTACCTTTTTCATTAGTATTTTATATTGAACATGACTTTCTATCAGTACACCTCTGTCTGTCCAGCTTTTGACTAGCATAAAGTGTCCATTGTATAGATTTATTCAACTGATTTATTCATTAATTCCTTCATTCGTGACCATTGCTAAGAATGCTTTAGGGTGTGTGTACTTCACCAGGTGCTGAGACTTTGGTGGTAAAGATCATACCTACCACTTTTACTTGAATGAGTGGTAACTGTGTGCCTCCATTTCCTGGTCTGTAAAATAGGAATAACCATCCTTACCTGGAGCTCTTGCGAAGCTTAAGTGAGGTGATAACTTAGGGATCTTTGAACTATGCTTAGCAGTACTTCACAACAGAATAGTTAACCAGCCTACTGTCACTACTATGTGAGTGTGATGAGTGGCTTCAATAATGATTGTAGGTGGACCCTAGTTAGCACTGGCAATGGTCAGAGAAGAACTCTTCCAAAAACATGCCGTGCCATTGGGAATGAGCCCATTAGGCGGGTGTAACAAGAGGGAAGAGTATGCACAGGATCCTAAAACGAGGAAGAGGGTGGTACAACCTAGAACTTCAGACAGACTGCTTGGACTAGAGATGAGATGGGAAAAGTACCTGAGATGACTTGGAAGAAACTGGCAGTGACAGATCACATGATCTTCTGAGTTATAACATTCTCTCAAACATACACTGTTTCTACAGAAGAAACACCTTGAAGAACCACTGCACTAATTTATACTTCTGCGAAGACTATAATCGGGGTTTAAGTCTTCATATTCTCACCAGCATAGATTATAGTGTATTTTTAAAACTCTAACCCACCTTGGTGCTCTCTGCCTGTGGTACCATGGCCTGAGTTGCTTAGAGTCCCTGCCATGCTGCTGTCTATCTCTCTACCCACTCAAGGTGCTAATAGCTCTCCTAATAAATGTGTAGCCCCCAACAGTCTGTCTCAGTGGCTCCCTGGAACCCTACATTTGAGATCTTCATTCTTTGCTTCAGCTTTCTATTTTCTTTCCCTTTAACAAATTTTTCTTTAGTTATGATGTTTGTTGTTTTTCAAATTCCCTCCGAGACGATAACCCTTGATTCCTTCCTAAAAAACTCTGAATAACTATTGATCGGAACCACACTCCCATTAAAAAAGTCGAGTCTGGTGGGGGGTGGGGCTGGAGAGATGGCTCAGCGATTAAGAGCAAAGGCTGCTCTTCCAGAGGACCCGGGTTCAATTTCCAGCACCCACATGGCAGCTTACAACTGTCTATAGCTCTGGTTCCAGGGGATCTGACACCTTCATATCATTGCACATAAAATAAAGTTAAGTAGATTGTTAAAAGAAAAAAAAAAGAAAGAAAAGTTGAGTCTGCATGCACAGTTTTTGCTGTCTCTGCAGAGCCTTGTGGACTAGCATGGTCACAGCCGTGATTATTTCTATTAAGCAAGTGCAGGGATCATGAAGCACTTTGCCAAGGTCATTACACTGACAAGACTCCTTTTCAGTCTTCACATGGTGATGGACAGGATCACATTTTCTATAGTTCTCCACAAAGTCCAGGTTGCAGAAATTCTTGAACATCACATCAATGTCCAAAGCCCTCTGAGCAGAGTCCAGAAATTCCCACTCGTCCTGGGAGAAGTCCACACCTACATCCCTGAATGTCATCACACCTATGTTTGTCTTTTTGTGACTGGATTACTTCACTCAGGATGGTTTCTTCTAGTTCCATCCATTTGCCTGCGAATTTCAAGATTCTATTGTTCCCCCCCCCACCGCCCCGCTGAGTAGTACTCCATTGTGTAAATGGACCACATTTTCTATATCCATTCTTCAGTTGAGGAGCATCTAGGTTGTTTCCAGGTTCTGGTTATTACAAATAATGCTGCTATAAACATAGTTGGACAGATGTCTTTGTGGTATGACTGCATCCTTTGGGTATATGCCTAAGAGTGGAATTGCTGGATTTTGAGGTAGATTGATTCCCATTTTCCTGAGGAACCACCATACTGATTTCCAAAGTGGATGTTCGAGTTTGCACCCCCACCAGCAGTGTTCCCTTCTCCACATCCTCTCCAGCATAAACTGTCCTTGGTGTTTTTGATTTTAGCCATTCTGACAGGAGCAAGATGGTTTCTCAGAGTTGTTTTGATTTGCATTTCCCTGATGGCTAAGGATGTTGAACACTTTCTTATGTGTCTTTCAGCCATTTTAGATTCTTCTAAATTAGTTCTAATAGAGAACTGTCTATTTAGTTCTGTACCCCACTTTTTAATTGGATTATTTGGTATTTTGGAGACTAGCTTCTTGAGTTCTTTGTAAATTTTGGAGATCAGCCCTCTGTCAGATGTGGGGTTGGTGAAGATCTTTTCCTCATCTGTGGGCTGTCATTTTGTCTTGTTGACAGTGTCCTTGGCCTTACAGAGCTTCTCAGTTTCAGGAGGTCCCATTTATTAATTGTGGATCTCAGTGTCTCTGCTACTGGTGTTATGGTCAGGAATCTGTCTCCTGTTCCAATTCGTTCAAGGGTATTTCCTACTTTCTCTTCTAATAAGTTCAGTGTGGCTGGATTTATGTTGAGGTCTTTGATCCATTTGGACTTAAGTTTTGTGCATGGCGATAGACGTGAATCTATCTTCAGTCTTCTAACATGCCAGCATTCAGTTATGCTAGCACAATTTGTTGGAGATGAAAGCAGCCCTCAACACTCAATTGCTCTTGTAATAAATTTGTTTATTATCTTTTGATATGAGTGCTGTCATACACCTAAGCAGATGGTTTCTTCAGCAGTCATTCAGGTATGAGTAAGAGGCTGCACCCAGGCATAGGGCATGACACTTACAATAAATACAAAACACAGTGGTCACACCTAAGGGGAAGGTTTAGAACCGGAGAGAAATGTGATCAAACCAGGTAGTGATTCCTTGTTGTTTCTCTGCTAGATTTCCCTGCATCACCTACCAACACATCAGTACGTCACACCCCGGTATCCCCTAGTGTCCGGAGCACAGAACAAGAAAATGGAGATATGATCATCATGAAACGCCGGATATTTGGCCACAGAATCATCACTATCAATTTTGCCGTTAATGATCTATATTTCTTTTCTGAAATGGAGAGGTAAGTCCCCAACTTTCTTTCTTCCTGTAGCTTTCACATTTAAAATTTCCCCGCAGGGGATGGAGAGATACCTCCCAAGCATGAGGACCTGTAGGGTGGGGTGAGGGGAAGCTGGGCTCAGCAGTGCAGAGCTTTAATTCTAGCACTGAGAAGACAGAGGTCAGAGGTTCCCCCGAGGCCAGCTCCAGGTTCAGTGGGAGACAGAGGCAGAGAGTGATGAAGTCGTGAAACATCTCTCCTCTCTCTCTCTCTCTCTCTCTCTCTCTCTCTCTCTCTCTCTGTCTCTATCTCTGTGTCTGTCTGTCTGTCTGTCTGTCTGTCTGTCTGTCTGTGTCTGCCCCCCCCTCTCTCACACACACACACATACACCTCCCAGCAAAAGTTGGCTTGACACATCAGAGCCCAGTGATTGGCATGTGAGAAGCCCAGTGATTTAGCTCTGTCAGAGAAAATGGTCTTGAAAATCTCTTGGACTTCTGTCACTCTATCAGTTTCCATCATTCTTGGGTCCTAAGAGTCTCTTTATTCAATGTCCTGGGGATTCCAAGGTTATAATGCACCTATGCATTGACAGTAAGTGGTGTTTTTTCTCTATCTATAAATATGAAACAAGTTGTCTCATGTTACTCATGTAACACCCATGGACCAAGAGTCCTTAAAAGCAGAGACTGTTATAAGGAAAACTCTGTGTGTGTGTGTGTGTGAGAGAGAGAGAGAGAGAGAGAGAGAGAGAGAGAGAGAGAGAGCATGGTTGTCTGCGCACCATTTAGTAGATACTTTTAAGTCAGATGTGCTAATGCATATTCACTTACCTGCCAAACTTCAAATTTAAGGTCAATCTACTAATAGCCAATCCATATATTTTTCTTGTATGAATTCTAAATTATACTCCAAATACTGTCAACCAATTCTAATTTCAATTTTTTAGGAGTGGAGCAAGGGCTGGAGAGATAACTTAGGCTTTAAAGGCCAGACTTACAGCCAAAACACAAAAGTGGAATGAAAATATAAAGATCGCTCCAAAACAACTCAGGATTTCTGGATTTTGTTTGTTTGTTCATGTCTGTATTTTGATGGGGCAGGATCTCACTCAGGGCCACACCCATACAAGGCAGGAGCTGAAGAACTGAGTTATGTTCCTGGTCAAATCTTTCTAGTTTTCAAATTAACTTTTTCAATTATTTAAATTTCCTTTGTTGTGTATAAGCTATAATACTTGTCTTTGTTACAACATTTCAGAGAATCTTCTCTCTTTCCTTGCTCCCCCATATTCTCTCTCTTTCCTTCTCATTCTCTCTGGCTGGTCTGACTCAGTAGCCCAGGCTGACCTGAACATAAGACTCTCCTGTTTCCCAAGACTGCAGTTACAGGTGCACACCAGCACACCCTGCTCTAGTTTATTTTCCTAGAAACAATAAATATTTTTCTTTTTAGACTCAGCTGTGTCATATGGATGAGTTAAAGCTTAGAGTAAAAAGTACAACAGAGAAAAATATTTGGAAGGAAAATCAGTAACCCCTGGAAAACATCTCCATTGGGAGAAGTGTAAAAGTGAACTAAAGGTGCTCCCCAGTCTATGCTCATCATGCCAGATGATTCTCAGAAACGCAGAATGTCCGGTATTCACACATCGGGGGAGTTTGACACACCACACTCCACGGAGGGACTCAGTTCAGTTCTAAACACGTTCACTGATTGTCTCCTCCTTATTGAGCACAGGCTCTGTCATCATAGACATGTATGTCTATCAGCCCACAGACTCATGCATACAGGATGCACATAGAAGGTGGGGAAGTCTCTTTGATGACAGGTGCTAGATAAAATTGGGTATGGGGAATATAGCTAAATAAATGGGTGTCCTCAGGCATAGTGTCTTGCTCCTGAAGCTGACCTGGATCAGCCTTATCAGGGTTCCAAACAGGGTCTCCAGGGAGAGGACCAAGTATGAAAGAGAAATAAAGAGATAATGAGAGGAGCTAGGCTTGGGGGTGGGGCTGCTTCAGAGGCTGACCCAAGCCAGCAAGTGTATTAACAGCACAGCTCGCTTTTATACCCCTCAAATGGAGAAGCAGACACCAAGTCAGTCAAGATCATTCATTAGACAGCAGAACTGTAGGGAGCTCAGAATATCTCAAGTTCCCCTTGAGCAAGCTACATTCTGGAGCAGCCAACAAAGCATTTTACATCTCAGTGTCTGGAACATCTGACTACATACGTACCGGAGAACTGTCAAGTGCCAGTTCCTGGACTATGCCCTCCCACCACCGAGGCCCTGGCACCAGTCCAAAGCCTGCATTGTCTGGTAGGGCTCTGGCTAGGTGATGAGCAAGATATCCACTGTCATCATCAGGCCTTCCCGGCTGCCTCCAGCCCCAGCTAGCTCCCAACATGGAGCCAAGAGACAGGCTGAACTGTGAAGGATGAGTGGGGCTAATGAGATAATAGCAAGTTTGTTAAGGGAAGCCATGGGAAGTGGAGAGAGAGAGAGAGAGAGAGAGAGAGAGAGAGAGAGAGAGAGAGAGAGCAACCAGTACACAGCTACTTCTGCAGCTGCTCCTACTCTTTCCCCCATCCTGTCTGCTTCCTTGCTTTCCCTCTGCAGACTAGTCTTTGTAAAGCAGTGGTTCTCAATCTGTGGATCTCAACCCCACAGGGGGGTGCATATCAGATATTTACACTGTGATTTCATAAGAGCAGTGAAATTACAATTATGAAGTAACAACAAAAAATAATTTTATGGTTATGGGTCAGCACAACATGAGGGAGGAACTGTATTTAAAGAGTGGCAGCATTAGGAAGGTTGAGAACCACTGTTGTAGAGCAACCAGAGACACTTATAAAAGCACAAAACCAGTGGTTACTCTTCTGCTGGGAATGCTCTGGTAACTTCCCATCACCAATGAGGTGACGTCTAAGCCATTGCCTAAGGTGCTCCATACCAGGGGAATCCACCTGCATCTCAGGGCTGGCCTCTAGCCTGCCCAGAGAGGCACCAGCAGAAGAGTCCTGAAGTTCTTGAGTTAGTGATAGGTGAGACATGCTTCCAGATTAGGAGGGGTCCATGAAATAAAGGAGTGGAGGCGGGGATTGTGGTGAAGAAATGTACTAGACAGAGTGCATGGCATATGACCTGACGTCTGGTCTGTGCTCGGTTTTTGCTAATGGAAGTCTTGAGATTGAGTGAATGGCATCACAATCTGCAATCTGGCTCAGAAACAGCCCTGCCCCCCCTTTTTGTGCCAGAAACAGGTTTGAGCCAGGCCCCCTTGCCAGCACCTGCTCTCATCTTCTCTGGTTGATTTATTTCATATGCCTCCCTCTCTTGTAGATTTAACGACCTGGTGACTTCAGCTCATGTGCTGCAGGTCAACAGAACATACAACGAGAATGACATTATCCTGCTGCGGTCTAAAGTGAACATTATTCTAAAGCTTTACCTGATTTCTGATGTCCCTCCAAAGCTGAGGGTAAGGAGTCTCCGGCTGCACTGTCACCCTTTTCCCATAAAAACCCTAAAACTCATTCTCCTGGTGCCTCCTAAATCCTGGGTCAACAAGATGCTCGTTGCCTAGCAAATGCACAGGAAACTGCCTTCTGGAGAGGTGGTGTTTCAGGGGATGTTAAGGGTCAAGAGAAGTCATTTTCCTTTCCTGGAGCCTCTAATGGTGACATGTTCCCATCCTATGGGTAGGTGAACATCTCTGAGTCTCAGAAGGATATCATTCTTGCTGCCGTTACAGAAGGCCACCTAGACCGGACCATCTTCCATGGGGCTATCATGTCCATCTTCCCTGTCATTATGTACTTCTGGAAAAGGTATTTAAATCCTCCTACCCAGTGACTACCAAGTCAAAGAGTTTTCTGTCTTCCTGTGTCCTACAATTTCAAGGTCTGTGAGGAACCAAGATGGCTGCTCTTACCCTACCCACTACACTCCATCCCACACTGAGCTAAGGACGGACAGAAGAGAACAACACCAGAATGCTTGTTCAACAACCTTCCTTTTCTTGTGCTTTCTTGGATCAGGAGTATGAGATGTACTTAAGCCCAGACTTTCCCACTAAGCATGAAGTAGACCATAGCTCCTGAGGGACAAAGTCTGTCAAGGCAGGAACTGTTTATAATAAAGAACCTCATGGAGCAAACAGGCCAAAGCATCTACCACTCTGTTCAATTCTCATAATCACCACTGAGGCACAGTTCCTTGGAGAAAAGTTAGATATTCAGTTTTATGTCACCTCTCTCCCAAAATTCAAGTGACAAATGTATCAATTAACTCAAAATGAAAACATGACAAGGAGTCTATGAGGGCCAAAATTCAAAACTTAAATGAGCAAAATATCTACAGACTAAACACAACCTGTGCCCCTGCTTCATAACCCGTCCTGCCAAGAGTTGTGCCCAGAGTCTGGCCTCAGATATCTCAGATGATGGTCAACTCTGGCCTTCTATCAGAGCCCTCTTCTGTTTCCCATGTGCTGTTTCAATGACACCAGGGTTGGCCAAAATTTTCCAGGGGAGGTAACTTAGTTAGGGTTTCTCTTGCTGTAGAGACACCATGACCATGGAAACTCTTAAAAAGTAAAGCATTTAATTTGGGCTAGCTTACAGTTCAGAGATTTAGTCTGTTCCATCATAGCAGGAAGCATGGCAGCACTCAGGCAGACATGGTGTGGGAGAGGTAGCTAAGAGTTCTACATCCAGATTGGCAGGCAGGAAGAGAGAGCGACAATGGGCCTGGCTTTAGCATCTGAAACCTTAAAGCCTACCCTTGTGACATACTTCCTCTAAAAAGGCCACAACTCCAATAATGCTACTCCTTATGAGTCTATGGGGGCCATTTTCATTCAAACCATCACAGAAGCCTAATGAGGATGCTTGCATCATATTGCAAATCTAGCTACTAGTGTTCCCTTTTTCTTTAAAAAAAAAAAATTGTGGCCTTGGAGCTGGAGAGATGGCTCAGTAGTTAAAAGCACTTGTAGAACACCTGAAATCAATTCCACATCAGGCAGTTTACAACCACCTACCACCTATAACTTTACTTATGGGGAATATGACTCCCTCTTCTGCCCCCTCTGTGAGCGTTGGGTGCATATGTTACACATACAGGCAAATAGGCACATACACATAAATAAAAATACATTTTTTAAAACGCACCCTTCACTAAAATAAAGGTATTGTTTTCTGTGAGATGATGTCTCCTAGCAACACCAGAAGCTACACCCATAAAGACTAACCAACATGACTGTTCAAACATGAGCTGAACAAGGACAGGACAACACCAACAGACATGCTAAAGTAGTCAGGAGAAAGCCTGGTCCCACCCAAGCTGCCCTCTTGTTCTTTGTTCCAGCCATTCTATGTGACCGGAAACCATTCTTCCCACAGGTTTTGTGTCTGGAGGGCAACACGCTCTTATGTGGAGTACATGGGGAAGAAGTTTAAGGATGGAAGAACTCCTATCAAGTCTACATACAAATACCCACCATGGAGTGGAGGTGAGTCCACCTCAGCCCACAGCCCCATTTCTCCAGCCAAAGATGTGAAGAGCTAACTCTAAGGCCTAACAGCACAAAGACGGTGCCTAGTGCAGTGGTCAGCATCTTAACTTGGTCCTCTGAGAAACAGGAGTACTGGTGCTAACATGTGTCCTATCAGTGATGAGGAGTGCTATCCAGACAAAACCTAGAAGGGGTTCCCACAATGCTCCTGGGCACACCTGTCTCAACCCTCATGCTGATCACCTGGCAGTGGTGAACCTCTTCGGCTGTTGTTTGAGAGGCTCTGATCCAACTATCACCATGGAAAACTTGCCATTCAAGAAGTATCTATTTTATAGAGTTAGGTGTGAAAACTAGATACATTGCAATAAATGTTCATGCTTTCATGCATGCACCTACATACACACACACACATAGTTTTATGAAGATGTAGGAGAAACACAAAAGTATTGGCAGGATTATCTCTGGGTGCTATGATTATTAATGAGATATATTTATTATTAGTCTATATAAAGAGCATATATATGTGCATGTATATATGTGTATATACACATGTATGTATGTGAGTATGTATATATATGCGTGTGTGTATATATGTGTATGTACCACATATATATTGTGGTTTGAATGAGACTGGACTCCATAAGCTCATATTTTTGAGTGCTTAGTCACCAGTTGGTAGAATTATTTGTTTGAGAAAAGCTAAGAGGTGTGGCCTTGTTGGAGGAGGTGTGGCCTTGTTAGAGGAAATGTGTCACTCATCATTCCCAGTGTACCTCTGCCTCATGGTTGTGGATCAGGATGTGAGCTCTTCACCCTGCTGTCATAGACTCTAACCCTCTGTAGCTGTAAGCCAAATTAAACACTTATAAGTTGCCTTGGTCATGATATTTTATCACAGCAATATAAAAGACACACACACACACACACACACACACACACACACACACACAAACATTCTACCTCTTTAGCCCTCTCAACCTCGGGTACCATTTTCTTGGTCTTTGTGCTGGTTAGGTTTGGGGTTTTTTGTTTTTGTTTTTTGTTTTTTCAACTTCACCCAAGACAGAATCATCAGGGAAAAGAAACCCTCAATAGAGAAAATGCCATTGGACAAGAAAATGCTATTGTAGGCAAGTCTTTAGGGCATTTTTTTTTTTGATTATTGATTGATTCTGAAGAGCCCACTACAGTAGGAGCAGTGCCACCCCTGGGCAGGTGGTCCTGGGGTGTATAAGAAAGCAGAGTGAGCACTTGCCATTGAGCAGCACTCTTCTACGGCCTCTGCTTCAGTTCCTGCCTCTAGGTTCCTGTTGACTTCCCTTCATGATGGACTGTAAGATGTCAGATGAAATAGACCCTTTTCTCCCCAAGTTGCTTTTGGTTATGGAAATTTTGGCCCCCCAGAAATTTATTGTTGGACCTAAGTCTTGAGCTAAAAGAGAAAAGGAGACCTAAGGAAGGCCTGGTCTGCATTGAGATAAAGAGGGGGGTCCCTCATGGCAAGGATCTGCCCCGCTAAAGCTGGCAACTCATGAAAGGAAAAGGCCTAAGGAAATTTCTGCCCCTAAAATACCCCAACAAGGGGAAGCTTCCACAAATGGGATTGATTCAAGGGGGGTCAGCAGAGAGTGGAGGCTCAGTTCATTAGACATCAATAGTCACATGAGCTGAGGCGTCCTGAGGTCCTCTTCCCATTCTCAGCCCAGAACCCCCATCACAGGTACAAAGGCTTGTGGCCAGTAATGCTTCATCACTGACATCATAACCTGTGCATGTTAAACAAGAGCTTTTCCCTAACTTAAGATTTGTTGTTTTGTTTTGTGTTTTGGGGTGATGGTTTTTCTTCTCTCTTTCCAGGTGAACATGCTGTCTTAAGGTTCACCTTGCTCAGAGGTGTCGAATGGTTTCGACCTCAACAGACGCGGGACGTATTGACAAATTCAATCCAAAACTGTGAGTTGGAGCTTCACTGACTGCACAAGTTCTCTGGCCAATTGGATTGGGCTTCAGAGTCCAAATCAGCCCGTTCTCTTATTACCTGTAAAAAGACTAAGGTCCGGACTTTGGGAGCCCATTCCACATAGAGGAATAGTCCCTGAGCCAAGACACACGGGGGTGGGCCTAGGCCCTATCCCAAAGGATACGATAGACTCTGTTGACACCCTATGGAAGGCCTCACCGTCCAGGGGGAGCAGAAAGGGTATGTGATAGGTAGGGGTTTAGTTGCGGGGGGGGGGGGGGGGGAAAGGGGGGTGGGGGGGGGGGGGAACTGGGATTTTCATGTAAAACAATCTTGTTTCTAATTCAAATAAAAAAAATTCTGCAGAAAAAAAAAAAAAAAAGACTAAGGTCCTCCAATGGAAATAAATTGCTCAAGGCTGTACTGTTTGGGAGCAGTAGAGGGGGTGAGGAGTACTTCTGGCCTGCACCCCTCCACTTAACTAATCATGTCTCTGCGGTTCATTTGTAGCCCCTTGAGAAAGGTGCATGAGGCTCTCCGTGCCTCTTCATTTCAGGCATCACAAGCCATCTTTGCTAAGAGACCACCACATGCTCTCTCCTTACACAGGGTCTGCCTACTGATTTGGTTAGCACCTCTATCCCATGCCTCCTGCTTCCTGGAGACTCCCGCTACTGAGCTCCTCATTGTTGTAGCAAGTCCGCTGGTCTTCCCCTCCCTTGTCGGGAGCACAGTACATGCGTTTTCTTTCCCATCTTCCAGCTCTAGGAGTCAGTTTCACGCCTGAGCATCACACTGCCTTTATTCTACACAGCATCTCCCAGAAGACCTCCCATTCTTTCCCAATTATTAGCTTTTGTTTGGGGAAGAAGTTGGGTCACCTCTTTTCTGCTTCTCTAAGATGCAAAATGTCGGTATAAATGTGATTCAAGTGTTCATTTTTGATCTCCGTATTTACTTCCCATGGGTTTATATGACTGACATTATGGCCTCTACATCCAGATGAAAGATCTTCTAATAGAAGAAAACGTGAATCCCACAATACGAGTCTTCAGGATACCCCTTCAGCATTAGAGTTCACCTTCATTCACCAAGCCCCTTCCCTCGAAAGTGAAAGCAGGCAACTTTGCACCTAAAAGTGTCTTACTACAAAAGTAGAAGCTAACACAATGTACCCTCTCTATACTAACAATACATTTCAAACCCAAGAAACTTACTGATTTAAACCATGTATGAGGCCATTATAATACAACACCTAAAAGTCATAAAATTACTGTCATACTATTTTATAAAAATATACATTTATATAGAATGAAGATACCACTAAATTTAGATCCTAACAGCTGTCAAATAGGAAATATTGCTGGGCAAGAGGAATGGCTCAGTGATTAAGAACATGTACTACTCTTACAGAGGACCCGAGTTCAACTTCCAGCACCCACAACTGCTATAATTCCAGCTACAGAGTATCGGACATCTCTCTCTTTCTCTCTCTCTGTGCTCTCACATGGCATACACACACAAAGATACACATAATTAAAAATAATAAAATAGAGCCAGCCATGGTAGTGCATGCATTTAATCCCAGCATTCAGGAGGCAGAGGCAGACAGATCTCTGTGAGTTTGAGGCCAACCTGGTCTATATAGTGAGGTCTAGACCATCCAGTGCTACATAGAGGGACACTGTCTCAAAAAGGAGAAGAGGAAGAAGAAGGAGGAAGAGAAGAACCCTTTAAACTTTAGATTAAAAAATATTCCTAATTATACTCATTCATAAACATTTATTTATTTTACTTCCCAGAATAGCAGTATATTTTTTAAGCAACCAAAAAATAAAAGTATAAGGGCTGATATTCATGTTATAATGCTATTACAACATGGCACCTCTTGGTATTCAGAAAAGCAAAAAAAAAAAAAAGTATTTCCAAAACACATTACATTGTGGTTATTTGAATGAGAATGGCCCCCATAGGCTCATATGTTTGCATGCTTAGTCATCAGGAAGTGCAACTGTTTAAGAAGGATTAGGAGGTGTGGCCTTGTAGGAGGAAGTGTGTCACTAGGTGTTGGCTTTGAGGTTTCAAAAACCATGGCAGGCCCAGTGTCTTTCTTTCTGCCTGCTGCCTGTGGATCAGGATGTAAAGCTCTCAGCTACTGCTCCAGCTCCATGCCTAGCTTCCTCCCACCATGACGATCATGGACTAACTCTGCAAAACTGGGAGCAAGGCCCTGATTAAATGCTTTCTTAGATAAGTTGCCTCAGCCATGGTGTCTCCTCATAACAACAGAACAGTGACTAAGACACAGAGGGTTAGATGATGTTTATAATCATCAATTGCATCATCCTGTTTAGTTTTATCATATGCCACAACCTAAAAATGTAGCACATAATCTGTTAAGTAAAAATCTTTTCTCAAATGGCAAGAAAATAATTGAATACAGAAATAAACATCAATTAGAAGCCAAAAAAAAAAAAAAGTTTCTGATCTATTCACAGAAGTTGATCCCTGTAAGAGTACAGGAGCAGCGGGGGGAAGGGCGGGGGGCTTCCTTCTGGTGGAATGTGACATGTGCCATGCATTCTGACTTTCCCTTTTGCATCTGTCTTAAGCTTCATCTAGCAACCTCACCCAGCCAGGCAGACCTGCCATCTCTTCCTTGCAGTTGGTTCCTTCTGCCCTGAGGTAGGTGTGAGCTAGAAACCCTTGGTCCAGAGATGTTCTGTCTACATGCACAATGGGTAACAGGATCAGTTTCCCAGAGTGCAGCTCCATGTTCCGACAACTTCCCTGCACGTAGAACCAAATGGAACTTAGCATACCTGGCATCCCCGCAGTCAGGGAGAGAGATCTCTGTGGGGGTTTTTGCTCACCTCCCATTAGGACAGGCATTTCAAAGTATTTTCATTTATGATTATTGCCATTTCCAAGGAAATTACAACACGCCAGCATTTGTGTAATTTCAGTTATTAATTTATTGGCTGGCTTCTCTTTCTCTCTCTCTGATGTATGTATACACCTTCATGTTCATATGCACATGTGTACAGGTGCACGTGCACATTTGTGGGTGAGCATGTGGAGGCCAGAGGCTAACACTGGGTACCTTCCATAGTCACTTTCCACCTTCTTTTTTTTTTGAGCAGCATCTCACCCATTCTGGTGGATGAGTTCTAAGCTGGTGAGTGAGTTCTAAGGATCATCTTGTCCCTGCCTCCCCAGCCCTGGGATTTCAGGCACATGCTGTCACAATTGGATTTTGATATAGATGTTCAGAATCCCAGCTCATGTCCTCATGCTTGGGTAGCAAGCACTGTAATAACTGAACCATCTCCCCAGCCTCATCCTGCTCCCCCTTTTGTCTCTTCTTTTAGAATAAAACTGCCCTACATCCAAAAAGAGAGAAACTAATCAAGTCAGGGCCAGAACAGAGGCAAATCATTCCTTAGCAGCCTTCCAACATGGACAGAAAGAACCCTTTTTGGTCAGAAATGAAATGTCCTGGCACCATCTGCAAAGATCAAATAGGAGAATGATTGGGGACAACCCAGACACTGCAAGATCAGACTGCAATGGGTAAGATGTGGGCAGAGAGTATGAGAGACAGCCCCTGTGTCCTCCATGAGACTGGGGGGCTGGAGGGGTCTATGAGTTGGTGGGTTAAGTCACCTGACCTGGACTTAAAACATTACAGTTCCATAGCCTTGTATAAGTCCTAGCTCTGAGTTGCTGAGAAATCTCATGATGGATGGATGGATGGATGGATGGATGGATGGATGGATGGGATGGATGGATGGATGGTGTCACTGAGTACCACAGGAAGTGAGGCTTATGACTCTCAGCTCCATTTGCACAATGACTCCCATCCATTGTCTCAGTAAATCTTGACTTTTAGATGGGCGAAGAAGCCAGTGTGTTACTTCCAAATGTGCCACTTTCCATTCCTTGTTGTGTTCTCATCCCATGGTAAACATCCCTGCAGCTTCCATGCATGGAAACAGTTGCTCTTCCCTGAGTACTGTTCACATGGCAATTAATGGATTTTCATAACATATTTTAACCAAAGCACCTAAGCAATGGCCTTCATTTTAGAGCAATTAGACTTATTCTATGTCAGGAGTAAAATGACAGGAATTTATGAACAGGCCCTCAACTGGAAGGAACTGAACAACTATCTCAGTGGTTCTATGCATTACAGAATACAGAATTACTAAGTAATTACAATTACTAGAGAATCCTTTCAAATCCCCGCAGAAGTGTCCAATACTGGTAGCCTTTACCCTGAACTTTTGCATAGGATGAAGCACATTATGGTGTTACAACAGGGCTTATGACGCCTGAGACTGAAGCCATCTAATGAGGCTGGGGTTGATGCAGGTAGAGAAAGACAGTAGGCACACTTGGCCTCAGAGGAGGTCAGAGGAAGGTAAGGCTCAAGTAAGAGTGCCTCAAAGCCCCCCAAGACGGCCCATCCAAGTCAGGCATTCAGCACAAGAAAGACTGAGAAGAAAGAAATGAGGCTCTGCTTGCCCCACAGGGCTGAAGCTTAAGAAGAAGACTTCAATTCATAACAAAATAATGATGGTGAAACAGAATTCTAATTGTTAAAAATCAGATTAAAATTAAAATCCCAGGAAAGGAATAAAGAGGAATTAAGGTCCCAGGAAATAACTTAATCAAAAAAGAGCAAGAGGCCTGAGCATGAGACCAGAGAGAATGTGAGGGTACCCACAAGGTGACAGATGAGGGTCTAATAAAATGCTGACTTAGGGGTTACACGATAGATACCCTCCAGGTGGATTAAGACATGACTGAAATCCTACATGTTGGCAGTAGATGAGTCTCACTTGAGGAAAGGAAAGATGTGTTTCCTTCATTTGAGAGAAAGATCTTTGGGTTGTTCTCTCATTGATCATTAACAGAGGGATAAGCTCCTATAGCTTTGCCTAGAGGTGTGGGCTGTATAATTTATAGAACAAAGGCCATGTCCTATTTTTCTTTGTACCTCCAGTACCTGACACAGTGACACATTAGTAATTTCCTTATCAATAGGTCCTGAATACACAAGTAAATGAAATGAGCTCACTGCTGGAGAGATAGTAGAAACAATAAGCCATGAAGTCACACTTCTGCCTTTTCTGACCAGAGTTTTCTGACCTATTACTGGAGAATAAATCAGTGA